GAAACCTCAAAAAGTTGCAGGTTCTTCGTTTCTATGATATGTCTGATTCATTTACAGATAGCATACGGCCAGGAAAGCCAAGTACGACATCTTCAAACACATACCACCTGCAGGTTTCAAAATTTCCCGTAAGAAACAGCACGGGGTCAACGGATACGTCAACAACCTCTTCATTTAGCTAATTTGACCATGAACAGATATGTACGAACTAAGTCCTTTTGATTTGAGTGCATGCCAGCATTTTCCTTCTTTATATATATATATATATATATATATATATTATTTAGTCATTAATTAATAATTGACGCATGATTGATATTTATATATATATACATTGAGATATTAATCTTAAGCAGACATAAGATTATTTGACATGTTAAGTTTCCTCATTATTTAGTCTATCTGCAATTTATAATGATAAATATTTTAAATACGCTGGCCTTCTATTCATGATTAATTTATTTAACTACTAACTAATATTCCTCTTTTTTGTGAAGTTGATGAGGAACATTATGTGACCCCCAATAATTTGATTTCCGAAGGGAAGCCACCATCAGGTGACGACAAGGCAACAAATCGGTGGTTGTTTGTGGTTCAAATAGTGTTGGGCGGCTGGTTTGTTTTTCATGCTGAATATCGTATCCACTATCTGGAGCAACTGTCTTATCTTTTCATAGAAGGGTAACCTTCCCAAGCTTCACTCATGAATCACTGTTCTATAGTTTTTGTACTCATTTTTCTTTACTTGGTGTGGGTTGAAGCAGATGCTGTTCCTCTCTTTTGTGCAAGTCTATGTGTTATTGTGTGTGGTTTGCTTTCTAATAGAATAAGTATTGCTGATGAGAGCAAACAACTTTGTTAGAGCCTAGAGGTGTCTTTTTGGTTTTGTCAACAGTATTCATAGTCACTGTACTAAATAGTTCTTAGGGAGAATGAGAAAGAAGTCTAAAAAATCAATTAATTCAAGTTAGATTTTAAGTGTCAAATTTCAAGAATTTGCAACTCAATCTCTTAATTTTGTAATTTTATTGTGATGAATTTGTGCAAGTTATATTCCAAATTTTAACAGGAAAAATAAATTTTTCTATTATTCAATCATGTTAAAATTTAAAAAAAGTTTACAATTCATCCCAATACAGTTATAAAATTAAGAGACTGAGTTGCAAATTTTTAAAGTTTAGCATTTGAGACCTAACTTGAATTAACTGACCCTTTTGAAAATTCTTTATCATTCTCCCCTAGTTCTTAGCCTGCTCATTATCTTTAATTAGTTGTACTTTAATTTTGGGTTGATATGCAGATGTTGTTCCCATCTACTGTGTAAGTAGTCTCTCTCTATGTATCATTATTTTCGTGTGGTGTAATTTAGTAGAATAAGCATTGCTGAGAACCAGAGCAACTTTGTTAGATATATAGAGGTTTGTCTATCCCCTGCATGTCTTTCTAATATAGTACTAGATATGTTTTTGTGATCAACGGCTTTTACGCTCACATCATTATTTTATCATTTTTGTGCCAGGTGCATTAATTAAGGATGTGAAAAACCCCAGTATTAATTCATGATATATATATATATAATCTATATACATCTAGCGAAAGTCACATAATAAGTTTTCTTTTTTTTCGATAAAACATAGAAAGTTGCAACGTAATCCATAAGCCAAAAATAATGGTTCTCATCTCATCTTTTTTGCGCAAAATAAAATACAAGAGACTGATCACAATCTAGCTAATTGAATATCAGATCTCTTAACTTTATCACCATATCCTTATTATTTAACTAGCTAGATTCTAAGCCAAAGAAAACTAGCTTAGTAGGAAATGGCATTTAAATGTGTACGTGTGGTGTGTGTAAGCAACATTTCCTCGGCTCATTTTTCTTAAAACATACATCCAAGTGTACGTGTAGATAATTCATATTTTTTTTAGGGTTTAAGTGCATTTTTATTTCTAAAGTATTTCTAAGGAGCACCTAACACTTTAAATAACATTTTTGTTGAAACAATTTTGCCTCTAAAGTTTTTTAAAATGAAGCATGTTTTGCCCTTTTCGCTAAAAATTTAGCTGAAAGGGCAAATGTTTCTGTTTTTTATTACACCCCCAAAACTAAGGGTATAACTAGCACGAATATTAATAAACTCACATTCTATGAGCATTAATTATATAAGATTAAGCTAAAATATTGATAATTAATTTATCTATATAATTATAAAATTTGAAAAAAATCTTAAATGTTCTATAAAAATTCTGGCAAAGTCTCCTCTGTAATTTAGAACTTTCAAAATTTTTACAATAATAAAACCTATCAGCCAATTCAGCAAAGGAGCTTAGCTCCACATCAACAATTATATATCAGCAAAAAAAAAAACTAGAATTTAACTATGATATACGTGGAGTACTAAATTATAATTTAATAATACAATATAGTTTTCACCCAAGAGATGAGCAAAGGCACTTTCACTGTCCAAAAAGCTATGGGGCCTCCTAATGAGCAATAGGAACACAGAGTCAGCTATAAATCTGATACCAAAGGAATTTGGACAAGTAGCATTCCAATCAGAATTATAATTGAAATAATTAAAAAGATAAAACTAATAAATTTATCTAAAATAATTTTATGAAATAATGAAAAATATACTTGAATTAACAATAAAGACCAATTCTTTTCAATAATACAATTGTCAAATTAAACAACAACTATAAACAATATAAATTTATCAAGGTTTGTAATGCTCATAGAATATAATAATTTCAAGCAATGACACAATTAGGTAAAATGCTTTAAAGAAATTATAAAAATAATAAATTTTAATTTTAAATTTAGGAGGGTTTTATTAGAACGAATTAATAACAAGCATAGACATACAGTTTATAAGGATAAATAACCAATTAAGCGTGGACACATAATCTACGAGAGTAAATAACTAGTCAAATGTGGTATAAAGTATTTAAAGTTTGAGCTATATGATAAAGATATTATTAAGCTTCAAAGGTTGGACCAAGTCATTGCAAGAAATGATCAATAGGTGCGCTAGCTAGCTTGATTTTCGCATATTCTTCATGATTTATGAACTGAGTCAAGCTAGTTGAAAGCATTAAGTGTTTCGGCGGGATTTCCTTTTTATTTTATTAGCTAGATTGTGAACCTCATACGTTTATGCACAAAGTTTTAAAGTCATCACTCAATAATTTATGATTTATAAAATATTGTGATTTTTTCATTTATTTTACATCATATATTAATATATATGTATTTCCACATCATTTGCCAAGCACAACATATATAAAAGGTTCCAGTGTCGGGAGTGATGAGCATCAATGTAGACCGTCCAAAGATATAAAATATTTAATCTCAAGCACAGCCAGTGGTGGCCATTATATTACAAGTTACAACATCCACAAACTCTTGCCAAGGGCTTGCTTCTCAGCAATGCTTAGTTTATTCTACTAGAAAGGTGAATGGCACACTTGAGTTTTAAAGGGATTTAAATAAAGTTCGAACAAAGTGTAAAATGTAGCTAAGTCTCCCAGGTCCTTCGCTGATATTTGCATATATGCAGTTTATTCTGAATTTTAAATTAGAAAAATGAGTTTGTAAATTCCAAAACAAAATTAAAAAATTGAGAGACTAGATTGCAAATTATTAAAAGTGTTCAAATAATGATATGTTACTTTTAAAATTTAATCATTAAATTTACATTTGTTTTAAAATTAGAAAGCAAGTTGCAAATGCAACATGATGAAATTGTAAATTTGAGAGATGAAATTGCAAATTTATATGAGTATATTCAAATAATGATATGATTCTTTTCAAATTAATTATTAAGATTTGTGTTTCCTATTAAAATTGAAAAAATGAATAACAAATTTAACATGACAAAATTATAAATTTGGAAATAAAGTTGCAAGATATGAAAATATCAAAATTGGGAGATAAATTTTTCAATTTCGTCAATATGAAATACAAATTTTAATAATTAAGTTTGAAAGTAACATGTCATTGTGCAAATTAAGACTTTGTAACTTTGTTTTTTCAAATTTACAATTTTGTTCTGTTAAATTTACAACTTTTTTTTTTAATTTAAAATTAAGAATATATTGTATATATAAAGATATCAGATAAGGACCTAAGACTAGCTTACTTTACATTTTAAAATTTATTGAAACTTTTCTTGAATGAAATGATCCATAGGGACTTAACTGTTGTCAGGAATCACACCACACGGAACAATGATACATATTATATAGACTTGCACTAGAGATCAACATTTGATTCACTCCCCGAACTAATAAACTAAAGAAATACCATGGGCAACAACTTTTTAGATCAGTGACCATGAGTTCTGGTGACGAGTGAATTATGCTGTAATAACCCGAAATTTAAAGTAAGATTAAAATTTATGATAAATTATTTTAAATGTAGTTCTAGATTATTTAACAAGTTATATTGGTGGCTTGGTGGATATTCTCACTAACATCTTCAAGCTACGGGTTCAAATCCTTGTCCAGTTCAAGTGGTGCATTTTATTATTTTTTGCTCAACCTCTAAAAGAAAAAAAGAATCAGATATGCCAAGACCCAAAACACACGCATCAGTTTTTTTTTTATCCTATCCTTCTCATTATTGAATATTCTAGACCCAAGCGAGAGTCAGAGAGCTAAAACCCATCGCCCTTCTCTCCCTTCGCCCTTCCACCTCCGTCTACTCCCTTATTGTCGGTGATCATGGTGCATTCGTTGTTGCCGTCGAAGGTCAGATTCGCGTGGTATTCCTCCTCTCCTATTTCTGTTGTTTCCTTTCATTCAATGTCTCATGAAAACACACAACACACACACACACACACAGAGGAAGGTAGAGGGTTCGAGAATCATTTGCTTCTTTTGTTCTTCCAGTCACCGACGTGTGCGTGTGGAATCGGTCTTCCGTCATCGCAGGTCTCCGTTCAGTGAGGCGGACTTCCTCCTCTGTTTTCGTCATTTGGTTCTTCTTCTTTCCTGCTCTGTGACGCTGTGTCGATGTGAGTATGGTAAAACCTTTCTTCTTCCTCCTCCTCGATTGTGTGTGCGATTGGGAAGGGAGAGTTGAGATTTGTTTTCTTCTTCCCTTTGTTTCTGTAGCAGCTCGGGGGTGGAGAAAATGATTATAGTTTTCCAATTTGAAAGTGAAGCTTGGGGAGTTTATTTTAGGTGAGTGCCCCACTTTAATTACTTTGGTTGTTTAAAAGGTGAATGAGTATATATTGGTCTTGAGCTGAAATTGGTTCTGGGTAAAGAATTGAAATTGGGAAGCTTTAGTCAATTTAAGTGCTGATAATTGGGGATTGTTGAGGAAGAGATTTAAAGAGTAACATAGTTGTTATATTGTTTAAATTTTGATGCATATAAGGTGTTTGTTAAAATGTGTAAAAGAGAGATTTGGTTGGAATGGGACAATCAAGTGTATTCATTATATTAAGGACTGAAATTTGAATTTAGTTTGGTTAATTTCTATACTGAAACTTAAAATAGTATGGATATTGCTTGAAAATGTGTGCGTACGTATGTCTATATATATATATATATATTGTGACAGAAATTATTAGGGAGAGATTTGAAAAGAAAGAAGCTTGATAGTATAGTTTGAACATTGATGCATGGAGGATGTTTGACAAAATGATCGAAAGGATAAGTTGTGTGTTTATGGTAACAAATACACATGATAATTATTTGATCATTGATTAAATTATTATGGGAAACACTCTTCTCTACATGAATGTTCGAATTTGATCTGGAGATTGTTGGAGGGAAAATAATATATCTTGGTTGGTAATTTAAGAACCAATGCTGGCGTGTTTCTATGTTAATCTTGGAAATATCTTCAGAGATTGTTTGATGCAATGTTTTAAAAGGCTTTAAAGTTGAGATTTTTTTTATTTTTGCTTTCTTTTCTGTTTCCTAAATAATTTTGGACTGTAGATTTTGGGTTATAAATTATACATATAAGAAAATGACAATGGTACTCCTTGAGTAATTGGGACTTAAGGACCAAGCATGGTTGCTAGAAGGCTAATTAGGAGTAAGTTATATCAATTTGGGAATGCAGCAGGTAAATGAATAATGTCTCAATCAATTTATAAATTTATAAATTTCCTTTTATCGAATATTATTTTTAACAATTTACAGTTATTAGTATATGTTTCCCTAACATTGATTATTATTGTTAATTAAATTTCTTTAACTTTTGAAGTTGTCATGATATGTATTTATAAGATTGACAAAAATGTTTTGTAAATTTTAATACTCTTTTATTTAGCAAAGACAATCATGGAAATTGGTGAAAAGTTTATAAAATATTAGTTGTGAATTTTTATATTTAAAATGATTGATGTTTCAAATAATTCATGCGAGTTTGATATTGAAAAGAGAAAATTTTATTTTAAAAATGATGATTTTCTCGCATGTTTAAAAATGAATTTCAATGGGACTTTATACAGAACAGTGATTGCTAATAACAATTCCGTTAGCCCTTGACACGCTATTGTTAATGATTAGCTAGTTTGATTTTCGTGAGCTTTATTCTCACGTTTGTTATTCGTAGGTCTCGTACTCGCGTTTGTTTTCGTGGCTTTAACCCGCGTTTTGTTAGTATTACCCTCGTGAACTATGTGTCTAAATTTGTTTCGTGGTTTCGACCACGTTTGGTTAGTTACCCTTATAGATTGTGTGTCCACGTTTATTTTCGTGGCATAAGCGACATTTAATTATTTATTCTTGTGAACTATGTGTCCACATTTGTTATTAGTTTTGTTAAGTCCTAAAAAAGGTGAACTTACAATTGACTTATATATATATATATATTTTCTCTAGAGGTTTTAATTTATAAATGTTGCTACATTTTTGTTCATAGATCTACTCAATTTGATAAAGGCAAGTGTTAATTTCATTTATGTTATTTTATTTTAAGCTAGCTGATCTTGAATTTTAATATGTGAAATATTTTAAGTAATTGTGTTATATTGAATTTTTTTCTTTTTTTTATTGTGTATAAAATTCATTAAGATTGTTCACATGCATTCATTTAATTTTTATTATTGGGGCATTATTAACTGAAAAATTATTTTTGGTCTCGGATATTATAGTTGACCTACTTCGAGTTGACTATTGAGGGGCTATCTTTTGACGTGAAGTGAAGAAGTTATTGACCAGCTTGGATGTAAAATTTAAAATTTTGAATTTATGTTTTGTATATTTTATTTAGACGCTCCACATAAACTATAGTTAGGACATTCATATATATATATATATATATATATATATACATGATTTGTCAATTAGAAGGAGCATAGCTCTTTGTTGATGCTATTTTATACTGAGGAATGTCGTCATAGAATTTTCAGGAAGTCTTATTTTATGGGGAGATTCTATCAAAAATTGTTTTTACAAAAGCATTAAGTCTTCTGTTCTTATTATTCATATTGGACATGGTTCGATTTATTTTCAAATGTCTTAGTGGTTTAGAAATTAGAGTTCGTTATGTTAAGGCTTTCGAGATATAGGTTTTGTTTTCATATTTCGTACTGGTCATTCCTTATTTTCAAGGAGTGACACATGCTTAGGAAGATATTGTCTCAGCAAACCTAAAAGACACCTACTCTAACGAAGTTGCTTGCTTCTCTGCAATGCTTATTTTCTGCTGGAAAATAGAAATCACACCACATGGAATAGTGATACATAGACTCACACGACACAATGGGGAAAGGGACAACATGTGCGTCAAGCCGTCAACCCAAAGAAACTAAATGGGTGACAACTTTAGAACAATGACGAGTGAAGCTTGGCAAGTTACATTCGTACTCTCATGATGACCAAAACAGACATCAAAGATGCTATATTAACCCAAAACCTCCAATCTGGTGTCTTGCCGCGTGGATGTGGTTGCTCGACCTTCAAAACAAGACCAGAATCACTAGCTAATTATTTGAAAGGCCAAGGCCAAGCACGCTGCTTTCTCTCTTCATGTCACTATTGCTTTCATCTGGTAGTACCAAGATTAGCGATCAACAATGTCCAACATGCGTGTCTTCTTTTAAGGAACTATATGTCTATCAAATAAAAGTTTTTGAATATCTCTTTGTACGACGTATATATACTGAATAATTAACATCATGCATCAATGATAAATAACTCAATCCGATCAGGCTAAACAATAAATATCAGTAGAAAAACGTTGCAAGCATGCTATTATATATTCTAAACAATAAATATCAGTAGAAAAATGTTGCAAGCATGCTATTATATATTACTATGTTCTTCATGATATTAGCATAGTGAAGAGAGTTTTTGATGTATCTGCTGACTCGCTGCCTCTTAAGTGAAGTTTGCACGCTTTGTATGTGTTTGATGATATCGTGCTTTCGCTGGCCTGGCAAGATGCTATCTGTGAATGAATTAGGCATATCATAAAAACGAAGAATCTGTAACTTTTTGAGATTCTGAATGTCATCAGGCACCTCAGCCATCTGAGGGCAAGGCCCAACGTATAGCTGCTCAAGCTGTGGCAGTGCCTTGTCATCAATTTTCAATGTTTTCAAGTGCTCCAGCTTCTTGAGGCGTAATCTTGAGCTTTCTTAGCCACCCTTTTTGGAAATGTAGTTCCAAAAAGTTGTAGGTCCACCTTGATAAGCCTTGCGAAGTCGTAGGTCCAAAAGCTCATTCAAGTCTTTTAACAGAATCTATAGGATCATCCGTTATTCCTGAGCCGTAAAAGCATAGCTTCACTAGCTTTTTGAGTCTGGGAATCCATTTTGGCAAGCTCTGCAAACGACCCTCCAAGTAAAGTCGTTCAAGGTGCCTTGGAGGGTTGGTTAACGAGTCTAGCTCTAGAAATTCATTCTCGTCCACTGCTCCTATCCACAGTGAGGTAAGGCGGTTAAAGACTCTACTGTATAAATCTCTTCCATTATGACGTCTTAGTCTGGTGATACCTAGCTTCTTTAGCTGCTTTAATTTTCTTAATTCTATAAATATGGAAGCATTCACGTGGTAGCAATCGATAGAGTATAGCATTTGTAGATCCTTGAATTCCCAAATCCTTTTATGATCTGCAGTCCACGGTAAGAAAAAGCTGCCATGCCCAGATCAATTTCACCACCGTGGAAGGAATAACATAGAAGCTGACGAAGCTTGGCAAGCTTGTTTATTTCTCCTGAAAGCCTATGTTCACAAGAGTTCTTGATGTGTAGAGTAAGAAGATTCTGAAGCTTGCCAATGGATGCGGGAAGCGTCTTGACTTTTGTGTTTCTTAAACTCAAATATTCCAAGAGCAGTCAGTCTCCGATTTGTTCAGGAAGAGCATCAATTGGAGCGTCGCATCGAAGTCTAATATTCTTATAAGATTGAACTTGGTCATGAAAGTTGTTGAAATCCCTTTAATGTTGGACAAAATACAAGATCTCACCTTGCCAGGATCTGAAATAACCCCTTGAAGCTCATTTTCTCTGTAATCCTTTTGAATGGATGATCGTCGTGGTGAGTCTGAAGAGTTTAAGTCCGAGCTGCCAGCATCGTCAAAAAGTTGACAGAAGTTCATCTCTTCAAACTTTTGTAAGATGAACCCGCGCATCATGTCATGAACTCTGCAACTTCTAACTTTGCCATCACAATCAACCACTGTAGCCTGAGAAAAAACATGATCGACAACCATGTCTAAATCAGACATTTTGGAATTATAAACCATGAAAGACAACAATACAATGAGCTGCGTGTGTTAATTCATACCTGAATCAAGCTTCTGTTTATCAGCTCTTGGAGGTGTTTCCTTCCGATTTCTTCCGGCCTCTCTGGGTTTTCTTTGACAAACCCTACTGCAATCCATAAACGGATGAGTCTGTTGCAGTTGATAGGGTAGTCTTCAGGAAATTCACCCAAGCAGAGAAGCAACGTTTGAGGTGATAAGGAAGATCATAATAACTTTCAGACATGACCGTGTTCAACACCCGGCCAGCATCAGTATCATTAGCCAAGAGCCGACTTAGGTTTTTATGCACATTTTGCCACTTGGTGCTGACATCATCGTTGTCTATATTTGTTTTTGAAAGAAGACTCCCAATGGTCGTGATAGCCAGTGGCAACCCTTTGCATTTGTCGATTATTTCATCAGACAATAGTCGCAAGTCTTGTGGGCATTCATCACCATGGAAGGCAATTCTGGTGAAAGGTTCCTCGGCCTGTTGGCGTTCAAGATGTTTCAGACGAAGGGTTTAGTAAGGTGTGTGTGACCCTTGCAATGGCTTTCCACTTCATTCTTTCTGGTCGTGATTATTATACTGCTTCCGTTTTGCTCGGATGGTAATATTTTCTTAATTTCGTCCCAAAATCCGGTGGCCCAGACATCGTCGAAATCTGTCAAGCGCCGGTTTTCTTGCAGACAGTTTCTCACTTCTTCTATCAAATCCCGTGTCTCCGTATTGCCCATCTCAAAATCCTTCTGAGACTTGAGTTGTTGAATCAGTTTCCTTAATGCGTTCCTTATCTCATAAGTTTGCGACACGTCCACCCAAGCTCGATGTGCTGCAAACCTTTCCACCACCTTTTACGATGGTGACATACTTGGTAGACCAGGGTGGTCTTGCCTGCACGTAAGCATAATAATCAATATTTCAACGTCAATTATCAAATAAAATCGTCTGCAGTGCTCGTCAGGTGTTCATCACCTCTAATAAATTTTACCCCTATTGAATATATATATATATATATATATATATTGTAATAAAAAGTTTTCTTTCTCAAACATTTAATAAAATATAAAGAGATTTGTTATAAAATTTAATAATATGACTTATAAATAGGAGAAATAATTTTTTTCTCTCTACCATATAAATAAAAATGGAGAGTAATTGTTAATTTGCAAAGAAACTTAAAATTAAAAAGATGCATGTTTTTTTAATAATTTTAAGAATGTAACCAAATATATATATATATATATATATGTATGTATGTATGTATGTATGTATGTATGTATGTTTTACTCTGTGCAAAGTTCATTAACATTATATTAAAGATTGGGGATATCTTCCACCAACCAAGGAGGATAGAGATTAAATCTCTTCTCTAACTAGGTTTGTTGATCCTTGTGTCTCAGTGCTGCAAGATATATTGATTCAAGTAAGGTTTCTCAACATTTTTGTTGGGCGAACTTGGGTCACACTAGTGTAATGACTCTAAATTTTAATTAAAAAAATAATAAATAAATAAATAAATAAATATCTCACATTTAATATTGTATTTATTTATTTTATTTTAATAGTAAATGGAGAGTAATGACTAAGGGTGTTTATAGATTCGGTTTGGTTTGGTTTTATTTTTAATTTGGTTAAGGTTTGAATCATGTTTCGATGCACTTATTTAATTTTTTTTTTCCATTTTCATTATGGTGCAGTGTATTAAAATTAAATCTAATTCTTTGTGGCTTTTTTTTTTCATAAATAGAGATATAAAAATATAATAAAATTTCAATGTGCTAACAATAATTAATCATAAAAATTGATATTAATTTATAAGATTAAAATTATTTAATATCATGCATTTCCATTCAAGTCCTTTAAAAATGTTTATCTATATATTTATATTTTAATAAATAATGAAAAACTTATTATACAAAATTCAAAACAAAATGCTTCTTGTAGATAAATTAAATACATGAGGCTTTCAAGTTGTAAATAATTAAATAATGGTCATAGCATGATTATTATAATTATTTAATGTTATGCATTTCCATTCAAGTCCTTAAAAAATGTTCATATATTATTATAAAAAATTCAAAACAAAATGCTTCTTGTAGATAAATAGTTTTATATTTTATAAATAAATAAATAAATAGTATTTTTTTTCAATCAAGTCTAGTTCAATTCGGTTCGATTTTTAGTACTCAAAATCGAAACTTGAACTGAATCAATCAGCTTTCATATTATAAAAATCAAAGCAAATTTTATTGTTATTCAATTTTGGTTGGCTTCTTTCAGTTTGGGTTAATTTGGGTTGGTCCTTTTGATTTGAATCGATTTTAAACACCTTTAGTAATGATCCAATAAAAACTATGTAAGTTGCCTACCTAGAAGTCTAGAGTTCGAATCTCACTAAGAAAAGGTTATTTTTATTTTGTGTTAATTATGAGAGAATGATAGGAAAAAAAATGCCTTTGTCTTTTATGTTATAATAAAAAAAATTTCGATCCTTTCTTATAATTTTCTCAATTCTTTCTTTTGACAAGATTTTTTTCCTTTCCTCGGCTATTTGAATATCAGAATTGGTAGAGGGAGGGAGAAGCTTCAGGATCTCGTCCTTCTATCTCCATTCTTTCTTTTTCACCGACCTAAAACCTCTGCCTTGCGATCTCGATTCATCGCCCTCCCGCTTTTGCTGTCGTCGCCGGTGACATGAGTATGCCATAAATCCTTACCTCCCTTTTGTTCCTTGCATCTCCTTCTCTGTTCGTGCCTTTGCTGTGATTGTCATCCTGCTGTGTCGCATTGCTGTCATCACCAGTGACGTGGTCAAGGGCCGGACGAGATTGTTCCTTTCCTCCTCCTTCTCTGTGTGACCTCTTCCTCCTTCGTGCGTCTGCTATCATGATCAGAACTTTCCCTTGTGCACGACAGCAACCATTTCTTCTTCCCCTGTTTCTTCTATGGTGAGTTGCTGTGTTGGTTGCTGTCATTAATTTTTGTTTTCCTCTGCTTGGTGTCGCTGGTTATCTTCTTTCTTGTCTGAACAGCAATATTTCTTTTCTCTCAGCTCCTACTCTCCTGTTGCTGTCACTGGAGCTAAGGATGGTCGAAAAACTTCCACCTTGCAACACCTCTGTTCGTGCGTCACTGTAGATGTTGTTGTTGGTGCATGAGTTCTTCTTCCTCGGTTTCGATCAGCTTCTTTCTCTCCCTCTTCTTTATTGTTGTTGATTCATGTATGAAGTTTTGAACTCTTCTTCTTACTATTTTAGTGCGTGGACATTTTGCCTCTCTAAATGCTGAATCTATACGTGTGGGTAAGAGGTGATTTGCTTCTTCTTTTTTTGTTATATCGTGTGAATGGATGGTGGAGGATTAAGCAAGTAAGTTGGAATTTTAATCCACTAAAGAATATGAAGCAATATGGGCTGAAATTGTATTTGAAAGTATTTTGATATTTGTTGAAGGAATGGTTTTGAAATATTGAGATAATTTATACAACCATGATGTTAAACTGTTAAAGAAGTAGTTTGGATGAAATAAGAAGAAAAGAGCCTAAACTTAAACTTGAAGATGGGTGGCTAAGGTATTTGATAAGTGTTTGTTAAAAGAAGTTTACTTGGATTTTATTTTGTCTAGAATTTCATAAATTCTTGGGTAAAGTTTGCTTAGTTGGGTGTTATTGACCCATGAATTTAGCTTGTAAGGTTGTTAGTAAATTGTTAGATATTTAAATTGAATGGGTAGAATAATGTACTTAAAGTATTTGATACAAAGCCTGAGAGAAAATTATGTCTCAAAAAAAATTGGCATCATTAAAATAAATTAGAGGAGACTAGTGATGTAAATGATAATACTTGAATCAACTTTAAAGTATGAATTTTGATTTTGAAACTTTAAATGATAGTAGTTGATTGAGATTGTGTAATAAATTAAATTTTTTATTAAAATTGTATTTATATATATCTTTATAGGGTGTGTGGAAGAATAAGACTCTAACAAGAATTAAAAGAAGAATATTGTTTAGAATTTAGAACTCCGAGGAGTAAGTGAATAGCACTCCTATTTTTTTACCAATAAAAGTAGTATGTTATTGAAAATATTACATTTTTATATAAATCATTTTTCAACTATGATGAGTGTTGAGTACTTTGTTAATTAAATTATTTTAGTTCTAGAAATTCATGGAATAATGATAAAGAATAATTAAATTATGATGTGCGTATGTATTTTTTTAAATATAATTTCAAGATGATGAAGACATCTTTGTTTATTAAACTTTGAAATTTCTTAATTTATCAATTAATGCAAGCTCGTACATTAGCTATGAAGTATTATTTGGCAGATTTTGATATTTAAAATAATTCATGGGAGTTTAGATATTAAATGAAAAGTTTATTTCAGAGATGATTATTTTTCTTGCATGTTTAAAATGTGACTTTTAAAAGGACTCTAAACAGAACACTATTGCTAACGGCAGTTTCATTAGCCTGTAGCGCTGTGGTTAATAACTAGTTAGTTTGATTTTCATGAGCTCTGTTCTCACATTTGTTATTCATGAGTTTTGTACTCACGTTTGTTTCACGGCTTCGAACTGTGTTTGGTTAGCCTTACCCTCATGGATTGTGTGTCCACATTTATTTCGTAGTTTTGATTGCATTTGATTACTTATCCTCGTAGACTGTGTGTCCATATTTATTTTCATGGCATAAATTGTGTTTGTTTATTTACCCTTATGGATTATATGTCCACATTTGTTACCTGTTCTATAAAGTCCTCAAAATTTTAAATTTTGATTAATTGGCTCATTCGAAATTCCAATGGTTTCAATTAACAAGTGTACTATTTTGATTTTTGTATGAGTAGTTTGTTTTTCTCTAAGCATAATAGAATAAAGTGCTTTCAATTCACTCTCATTTTATAGTTATGATTATAATTTACAGATTTATCAAGTTATTATGTTGAATTATCATCTTTTTATTTCACGTGATTATTTGATTTTATTATTTTAATTCTTTTGAATTCTATTTTGGAGATGTTATTCACTTAAAAATTATTTTGGTCTCAGACTTATTAACCGACGTTGATCCTACTATCAGCCTTTGAAGGAAAATATAGCTATATTGGGTGAAAATTTTGTTTGGTGCTGTTACCTTTTAATGAAAATATGTAAGTCTTATATATTTTAATTTAAAAGAAAGATTAGTTGCTCTACATAGATTGTTATTACGAATTTTTTTATTTATATGCTATTTGTTAGCTGGAATGAGCTAAGCTCCTAACTAATATTATATTTTGTGAAATTTTTTGTGTTGTAGAATTTTTTTGGGAAATTCTATTTACAGAAGAGGTTCTGCTAAAATTTTCACAAAAATATTGAAGCTTTGCTATAACAATTAATATTTAAAGTGTTAGAATTTTTATATAACTTGATTTTTTTTAAAAAAAAAGAAATAAATTTATATTTTGAGGCTTACGAGAATGTGCGATATAATTTGCATCCATGCCGGTCACCTTCTTTTTTCGAGGCGTAACAATTAGAATCCTCAATCCCTTAGCACTTCAACCTTCAAATCTCAAAGCATAATGATATGGGTTCACACTCATGAATTGTTGGTCGGATTCTTTCTAATACACAGGTTCCTCAAAGAAGAATGTAGAGCATACTTGAATCTTAATATGACAAATACAAGATATTAAAGAATCAGGCTTTCAGGAAAGAAAATTTTTTTAGAGAAAGTCCTTGTGA